GCGCGCTAGAGTTTCTCACTCGCGCTTTCACGCGGTGGAAGGTTTACTGATGTACGCCGCCGGCCGTCAGTTCATCATCTCATGTTATTACGCACAGAGAAAGGCTTTTTGTAATGCGCTGCAAGATCTTCTGACGTGCCTGCGGAGCGAAGGCACTGGGCGGGTCCCAGTTCATACAACGGCACGCGGTCTTCGTCGGTGTTTTCTCACTGAGCCGATTGTCGTTCACAAGGCCGTTCTTCCTAGTCTTCCTCTGGTTGGTGACAAGCATAGCCTTTCGGCTTCGAGCTACTACTTCTCGTCGCTCTGCCGACAATTGTTTGTGTGCGGTGGCGCAAAATTCGGACACCTCGTTGTGCAGCCACTTCACCGACTTCATCTCCCGGTTTCTGATCGTGTTATGTGTGGGTGGCCACCAATCCGTCGCGCAGAGACCACAAGGGCCTGTGCGGCGAAGTGCTGTTTGCGGCTTCGCGGCCGCTCTGCCGCTGGCCGTCGCTTCATCGTTCTGGCTCTGGAAGGAGTCGAGTGGCTTCTCTCTCCCGCTGCGGTCTGCGGGATGATGTCTCACAGGATTGACGCGCCCAAGGCAGAAAGAAGTCGTGAAACATGCCGCCCATCCCTCCAATACTTGCTCCAGATGGCATGTCGAGAGGCCAACGTTGGCGTTGGCTGAAAGTCCGACTGCCGACGTGCTTCTATTACTATGTAACAGACTATGATGGATGCCTTGGCCTGGTGTTTGAAATTCAACGGAGACGTTTGTGGCTTCGACTCGTACGAGTCTAAATGCTTCAAGCTGAAGCAGTTCATACCGAACTTCTGAGGCTTCGTGCTTCACGCTGTACGAGCCTTTAGTTCCCCTTCATATCCGGATTAAGTGGGTTGCCTATAATGGAGTGGCTCCCTTGTTCTCTGGCTTTGGCCTATACTCGGACCAACCTCGCCTTGAGGTGGCGACGGAGTCACCAGGGAAGCTGTCAGTGCCACGCCGAGAAGAAGAAAAATACGAGGCAAGGCTCGCAAGATGGCCCTTGCCGGCGGCGTCGGTACTCGCGCGCTGTGTAGGTAAACTCCCATATGTCTCCACAGCCTGGTCGACAATTAACGTTCGTCACGCGCCACCATCGCCGTACACCCGGGCAAGAGCTCATTCTCCCACTATACCGCGCTTCACACGCGGAGACAAGCTCACGTCCGGACTGGGCATCTCTCGCGCCTTATCTTCATCAATCGCGCCCTAGGCGTCTGCACGGCGCCCTCCGTGCCAAAGCGACAGCGTTTGCATAAGAGCACAAAGAAAAGCAAAGGCATACAAGGACCTGGAGGGGGATAGGCTCTCGCTGCGACCAGGCTAGCTCTGATCTGCGCACGCGCGAAGAGCTCTTGGGTGGCCCAGGGAATGCGTCGCGCGGCGCATGTGGCACCGTTCCGCGTGCGCGCGCGCTGTTCATCCTGATTCCTGATCGCCGTTTCCTCCACCACCAGCCACCCAATCGATAAATGCAAAAGGTGCCACAGTTCAATCTTTCGCACTCTATATACGCTTATGGTGTCGACGATAGCAGGGCAAACAAATAGGCGATGCCATCCTTGTGAGGAAGGTTTGGAGTTCGGCGACGTTAGTTTAGCAGCACTTGGCTTGGTTGTTATTTGTACGAGGGCGTAAAGAGGTCCACAATTGCATGGGATGTGGCTTGACAAGAACAAACAGCTCGGAAGGGGTAGAATGCTATGATCGAGGCGCTCCGTTGCCTCGCCGACCGAAGCATCGTATTGTTCTTGAAGCAGAACAAGTAGCCCGCGTCTCTGGTCAGAAACGGCTGCTTCCTTCTTCCCATCCGACTAGATAAATTATACACCGTTGGCGTCAGCTCATAACGCGCTCGCTGGATCGGGCGTACTGTCCAGGAACTGTTGGGTGGACCCGGACGACTAGTCCCGTGAACATTGCCCCGCTTGTAGGGACTTGAGACGGCCGGCCCCGCTCCGTGTATAAAGATCGCCAGTCCATCTCGCCACATCGTACTTTGCTTCCGC